TACACTCGCTGTTGATGACTTGTCACCTGACTCCTGTCTCATGTATGTTACTCTTTATGCACTTTTTGAATGAACTCTGATTTGTGTAATATTCTATTCCGACCCCTTGACTCCTAACGAATTGTGGCTAATGCAAGACCAGCATCTGTCTGCTTTGGGAAAACACCGACATGATTTTATTAAATTTTACGCTCACTACATTTTCATACCAGCTTTTTCAAAGTCACACAATACAGAAGACAACATAAGCTTTCTATGTACACGTCTTCATCTACAAAAGCAAGAATCCGACTCTATCCACATCTTCCAATGTGAACATTTTTTGTAGAGTAAACTAAACTAAACTGAAACCTATATACATGTAATGCATGGGCAGGTTAATGTAGGTTTCTGGATATATATTGTATATACTGGTATATATGGAGTCAAATTAATTTCCTCTACTTTCGTTTCATTCAAGTTCCCATCAATGATGGTTTCCAGTTGCTTTATGCAATGGAAACTACCAATCATACTTTACTGTAAGTTTCAATTTCTGGAAACTAACTTTGTTGGTTTCCGGCAGTTTCTAGTCGTTGAAACTAACTTTGTTGGTTTCCGGCAGTTTCCAGTCGCTGAAACTAACCTTGTTGGTTTCAGTAACAGGAAACTGCCGGAAACAAACAATCATAGTTTCCGTGAGCGGAAACCTACATGATTCTGGCTTTACCCAGTTTCAGGTAGGTTTCCGGAAAACTGGAAACCTTGTTATTTTTGCTGTGTCTTTTGGTAGAGTACAGATGTCAGCCCAGTTGAGCAGATCGATGCTCATGACATCAATCAATGGGTTATCTGGCTCAAACTCGTCACAAATATCTGAAATATACATTTGCATACCAACAATTATATATGTTACAGGGAATGTGTGAAACCAGGGATTTCACGTAATCCCTAAAAGTGTCAGTGATTTCGTGAAATCCCTGTGACCCCAAGGGATTTCATGTATTCCCTAAACTTTCAAGGGATTTCATGAAATTACTGAAATATTGGCTCAGGGATTTCATGAAACCCCTGACAGCCTTTATTGAAATAGAGAAACAGATTTCATCGTTGTTGATCAATGTACGGATATACATATTATACTTGCAATCAAGAAGTCTGGGATATCATCTGGGTAGTTGCAGGGAAAAACAATAACAAAAGCAACAACCACTCCCGGGGAATGGTTCTGGATCAGTGTCCATTTAGGCTTCAGTCATTAATTTCACATATTCACTGATATCCTAACAGGGAATGTGTGTAATGGAACACCATGAAAATCAGTAATATCATGAAATCCTTTGAAATGTTAGGGGATACACGAAATCCCTGGGGGTCACAATGATTTCACGAAATCACTGACTTTCAGGGTTACGTGAAATCCCTGGTTTCACACATTCCCTGTAAGAGATATACGGCAGCCACAATATGACGATTTTACTACAGCTTCAGCCGTGTTCATTAAGAGTGAATGAGTTTAGTTCTACGCCGCTTTTAGCAATATTCCAGCTTTATCACGGCGTGGGACACCAGATATGGGCTTCACATTGTACCCATGTGGCGAATCGAACCCGGGTCTTCGGCGTGAGGAGCTTTAACCACTAGGTTAACCCACCGCCCCATTTTCATGAAGAACTACCAGAAGTAAGAGCAGTTCACGGGAGCAGGCACCGATGTTATTTTTTTTCCATGCGATTCTTCTCCAGCACTTGGGAGAAGCATGGGTGTCATTACGTTGAGGCGTCTAATGTTCAATTAGTTGCATATTATTGTGGTCTTAAACCTGTAACCGCAAAAATAAAATGGGGATATTCTGTAAACGGCAAAGAGCCACCTTTCTTTCACTTTCGTATACAAGTGAAGACCTGGATTAGAGTTGCGCTGTGTGAACCCGACTTTGTTGTAAGAGTGAGTGAGTGAGTAAGTTTAGTTTTACTTCGCTTTTAGCAATATTCCAGCAATATCATAGCGGGGAACACCAGAAATGGACTTCTCACATGGTACCCATGGTCTTCGGGGTGACGAGCGAACGCTGTAACCCCTAGGCTACCCCACCACCCTGCTTTGTTGCAAGAACACAAGGGGAATCTAGTGGCCAGACTCGCTGACGTCATTGAGGCATGTGATTGAGTCCAAATTTCGTAGATCCATGCTCATAACGTCAAAAAAAACAAGTGGAGGTTTGTGTTGACAGAATGGAGCGTCTGAGTGGGGAAAGCAAAAAGTGGAGGTTTGTGTTGACAGAATGGAGAGTTTGAGTGGGGAAAGCAAGAAGTGAAGATGTGTGTTGACAGAATGGAGAGATTGAGCTGGGAAAGCAAGAAGTGGAGGGGTGTGTTTCCAGAATGGAGAGTTTGAGCGGGGAAAGCAAGACGTGGAGGTGTGTGTTAACAAAATGGAGAGTCTGATCGGGGGAAGCAAGACGTTGAGGTGTGTGCTGCCAAAAGTAGGGCGTCTGAGTGGGGAAAGCAAGAAGTGGAGGTTTGTGTTGACAGAATGGAGCGTCTGAGTGGGGAAAGCAAGAAGTGGAGGTGTGTGTTGACAGAATGGAGCGTCTGAGTGGGGAAAGCAAGAAGTGGAGGTTTGTGTTGACAGAGTGGAGAGAGTCTGAATCGGGAAAGCAAGAAGTGGAGGTTTGTGTTGACAGAATGGAGAGTCTGAGTGGGGAAAGCAAGAAGTGGAGGGGTGTGTTGACAGAATGGAGAGTTTGAGTGGGGAAAGCAAAAAGTGGAGGTTTGTGTTGACAGAATAAAGAGGGTGATCGGGGGAAGCAAGACGTTGAGGTGTGTGCCGCCAAAAGTAGGGCGTTTGAGTGGGGAAAGCAAGAAGTGGAGGTTTGACAGAATGGTGCGTCTGAGAGGGGAAAGCAAGAAGTGGAGGTGTGTGCTGACAAAATGTAGGGCGTCGGAATGGGGAAAGCAAGAAGTGGAGGTGTGTGTTGACAGAATGGAGCGTCTGAGTGGGGAAAGCAAGAAGAGGAGGGGTGTGTTGACAGAGTGAAGAGAGTGTGAGCGGGGAAAGCAAGAAGTGGAGGTGTGTGTTGACAGAATGGAGGGCGTCTGAGTGGGGAAAGCAAGAAGTGGAGGGGTGTGTTGACAGAGTGAAGAGAGTCTGAGCGGGGGAAGCAAGAAGAGGAGGTTTGTGTGGACAGAATAGAGCGTCTAAATGGGGAAAGCAAGAAGAGGAGGTTTGTGTTGACAGAGTGGAGAGAGTCTGAGCGAGGAAAGGAAGAGGTGGAGGTGTGTGCTGACAGAATGGAGAGTTTGAGTGGGGAAAGCAAGACGTGGAGGTGTGTGTTGACAGAATGGAGAGTTTGAGTGGGGAAAGCAAGAAGTGGAGGTGTGCGCTGACAAAAGGTAGGGCGTCCGAGTGGGGGAAGCAAGAAGCAGAGGTTTGTGTTGACAGAGTGAAGAGAGTCTGAGCGGGGGAAGCAAGAAGAGGTTGTTTGTGTGGACAGAATAGAGCGTCTAAATGGGGAAAGCAAGAAGAGGAGGTTTGTGTTGACAGAGTGGAGAGAGTCTGAGCGAGGAAAGGAAGAGATGGAGGTGTGTGCTGACAAAAGCAGGGCGTCTGATTGGGGAAAGCAAGAAATGGAGGTGTGTGTTGACAGAATGGAGAGTTTGAGTGGGGAAAGCAGGACGTGGAGGTGTGTGTTGAGTAGGGGAAGGTAGACGTGGAGGTGTGCGCTGACAAAATGCAGCGCGTCTGAGTGGGGGAAGCAAGAATCGGAGGTTTGAGTTGACAGAATGGAGAGTCTGAGTGGGGAAAGCAAGAAGTGGAGGTGTGTGTTGACAGAATGGAGCGTCTGAGTGGGGAAAGCAAGAAGTGGAGGTGTGTGTTGTCAGAATGGAGCGTCTGAGTGGGGAAAGCAAGAAGTGGAGGTGTGTGTTGACAGGATGGTGCGTCTGAGTGGGGAAAGCAAGAAGTGGAGGTGTGTGTTGACAGAATGGAGAGTCTGAGTTGGGGAAGCAAGAAGTGGAGGTGTGTGTTGACAAAATGTAGGGCGTCTGAATGGGGAAAGCAGGACGTGGAGGTGTGTGTTGAGACACTGTTGACAGAACGAATGACGATGTAATTCACTAAGATACGAGGAAGAAATATAAGATGATAAGAAGAGACGACAAAAAGAAATGCAATAACCAATTGATACAAATGAAAGGCTTGGGAAATAAGTTGTCGGTATGCTTGATAAAATACAGTATCCTGGTTATGGTGAGATATGTAACCAGATGAAGGATTTGTGCAGACGCAGACTTAAAAATGCTGGTACCATTTTGTAACATAGGTACCAGAGCTTTCGACATTCTCACTATCCCCTCACAACTGTGTTGTGCCTTCTTAGTCGGAAGCAATTCATTGCAATCAATTACCTTTGTTTTCCTCTTTTTACGACCTTTGCGTCTGAAACTACCAACACAGAAATTGTTATTACAGTTTGGGCAATTAACCAATTACCATGAATCTCATTCCTTTCACCGGGGTTATGCAATCTCAAAAGCTATTATTAACGTAAGTCAGCTGACAAATATCTTTGAGTGTAACAAGACATGAGTGTGATAACGATCATTTCCTCAAAGAATAATGACAGTTATTGAGTGTAACCAACAGACATGTTTCTCTTATATCTTTCTGCATATAATTCCACTGTAATAGTCAGGAACTACTACTGGAAGTATAAGTATCGAATATTGCATGAATATTTAATATTGGAAGTTCACGGAAGAGTTGCTGTATATCGACTATTCTTGGAGTATGAGATATTGGATGTATATAAAATAATGGAAGTGTAAAGAATGTCGACAGTATATGAGATATTGCATGTTTGTCAAACATATACGCTATGACAGTTGTATGCTTTGTCAAGAACTGAAAAACGAAACCAAATGGTACATGTACGACGTTGTCCAGTAGGCATGTGTAAGGGAGCTTTTAAAACACATTAATCTGAAATATACTTACCAGAATCATAACAAAACACATAATTACACTAAACAGTTTATTTATAAAATCTAGGTCACTGCTCTTGAGCGAGATGTTGTTGTGGAACTCAAATCGTTAACAAGCTTTAAAAGCATAGGACCTGTGAATCTGTTAACGTGTGCTTTGAGGTGATGATGGGTGTGCTTTAAGGACTCGTGGGATGTTAAGCTTTTTTGATTTACGAAATTAATATACATTTAAATAATAGGGATACACTAAGTAATTTCACACAAAAAAAATTCTTTGAAACAAAACAAGAAAGGCAATTATAACTGCACTGTTTCAAATAAGTGTTTTTCTATTTACATCTTACCATTTAATTAGTTTATGATACTTTTAAGAATATTTACTTTTTTTCGATAAATCATCATCAAGATAGTTGGTACAACAGGACTTGTAAAACGTTAATAGATAAATCACCCGATCAGACATTTGGTACTGCAAGATGTTTTAAAGTATTTGTTTACTTTAATGGATACATCATCAGGTCAGACAGTCGGCGCTTCAGGTGATAAGAAACAGACTGTCGTCAATGCTGTTCTTCAAACAACACATGTGATGGTGAATGTGAGCTCCCAGCAGTGGATTCTCGAGTTCTACACGAAACAGCCCGTTGGTGCGCTTGTTTTAATGTGAAGCACAATACACACATTTGTACAACTAACATCAAAAGATCATCAAACACAAGAACATGTCCATGTCAATCAAGATGGTTCCGTAATGTCAGATGGTCGTGTGTTTTCATCCTCCTCTTTCAAAGCTTCAGATTATCACAATCAATAACAATAAAGTATATTTGCTATATTATCAGATGAATAACGTTTTCGCTGAAAGTCAATCTCACAAGTGGGATAGAGCGTCCAAGTACTTAACGACCCGAAGTAACATTTTACAGGTGCTTCATAGTGTTCAATTTGCCGAAACCTTTGTTAGTAACTTTGGATTTTAACACACGCACATATACCGGTCTCATTAACAGACCATGTACTACTACTAATGTTTAAAGCTCTGTATATATTTATGAAATTAAAGCGCCTTTAGACTTTTCAAGATGATAGCCTCCACTTTAGTTCCAAAAGCTTTATCGACGTAACGTTGCCAATAGTAGTCCGAATGCCATTCTAAACTACATTTTTTCTATTTAGCTTGTTATTGCGCAATGACGCATTTTTTAGACTACATCCCCACCCCCAATTCCAAAGTGCAAACACACGCTCCCCCCTTCTCACGCGCTGCTTTGACAATCGAGAGAAATTAGCTCCAATACATTTGATGATAGTGAATGTCGTAAATGGCACAACGGCCTCTACTTCTTAGCAACAATCTCGCCATCGAGGTCGACGCCAAGGACGTGCTTTTCCTCCGCGTCCAGCTTGAGCTCAGCTGTGCCGATATCCTTGAGAGGGTCCATGCCGATCTTGCAGCCAACGAGGTACACAGCCTTAGGGTCATCGTCCTCCTGTTGGATGAGGTACTTGAAGGTACCGTATGGGTCCTCCTTGTGCTGTCTCATCACCTTGTACTCTTTGTAACCTGGAACAAGGGGAGGTAATCATCAGGGGAGGTAACTTCAAGGAAGGGAGGCAATTCCAAAAAGGAGGTAAGTGGTTTTGGAAAATGTCGATAGTTCTCTAAACAATGTGTATTAACGACCGGATGTCATTCAGAGTGAATGAAGTTTTTCAACGAATTGAATGCTAAGTAATTACCGATTTTGAATAATATGATCGTTATATTATTTGACTGAACAGTTTTGTAAAATCAATCATATAATATGATATAAAATAATTTCAAAAGAGGCTGGCATTAGTTTGAGATCTTGTAGTCTTTTTTAGATCCGAAGTATCATGAATGTTAATGCTTGTGTGATATCGTTAAGACACACAATAGTATTGATTAGTAAATGTAAGTAAAATATAAAGTAAATGTATGGTAAAGTATTTCTCAGGGATGCACTCGGTCGGATTTATTTATTAAGATAGTATATGTTCGGGGTTAAGACAGGGGAACGGCAATTCATGGTTAAATTGCATGTAATTCATGGTTAAGCTTGGTAGGCTATATTGTTTAGAGTGTCAGTTTAATTGAGAGGGGACATTGTCGACGGTTAGCCAAGAATATAGGGTAATCATTAGTTTGAAAGCAAGGAAATTATATTAACTTTGTCACATATTCATATACAGCTGGGTCAACGATGTAGGGCTACACAGAGTAAGAAGATGGTCACAGGTCGAAAAGAAGAGACTGAACTTTGGTCAAGACTGGGTATTTTTCTGCAATGACGTTCTATATATATTTCATTACTTCCAAAATACATGAACGAAAATTTTTGAAGCTACGTTTCCAAGGAGTTCCTTAACTCTATAAAGACAGAAGCTTTCATAGAAACTTTATAATGTAATACCTCCGAGGTTTTAATATATGGAACTTGGATTCCACTTATTACCATTCAATGACTGGAATTGTCAAAATTCACGATACCCTTCAATGTTACCCTTCGCAGTTTGTCAATTTAAGTTTTAATAAACTGGGCGCGCATATCTCTAGTCAGTTCTAGCCATTATAAGTTAAAACTCTTTGCAGGAAGACATGTTAAGATAATTAAGTTCTTTTAAGCAATATAATGTGGCAAGGAGGCTGATCAACACTGCTCCGTACATGTTAACTTGAATACCTCTTGGAACGGGTATCCTGGCCTCTCTCCCTAAGTTGTGGCGTTAATCAAGACAAACTATTTACATCAGATGCTTCATTAATTGTTTTAAACACGTAGGGTGTTATCTAACCCTTGGTGAACGATGCATGGCTGTTATAACCGGCAGGTGCATGTAGCTTCATTGTTGCATTACCAACCTATTAAAAATAAACCTGCCAGCTTATTAATTATTAAATTAATATGAACCATGTGAACTCCAGGTTTAGCTTTAGGAATACATGTTAATAGCCTTTAGATCACATTGTTTTCAATGTATAAAATATGTTGGTTATTAGGTGCAATATAGAGTACTTATATTATTCAATAACCTTAACCATCGCTGCTATACGCTGTGATGTTGCGATTAGAGTGAGTGAGTTTTGTTTTACGCCGCTTTTAGCAATATTCCATCAATATTACGTCGGGGGACGCCAGAAATGGGCTTCACACATTGTATCCATGTGGGGAATCGAACCCGGATCTTCGGCGTGATAAGCGAACGTTTTAACCACTAGACTAATACTAAACTAACTCACTCCTTTCCGATGCGTTGTTGCAATGTATATATGCTATTTCCAACACACGATAACCGAGCGACAGAAAGGTTATCGGGCAACACCGGTAAACAGAGAACATATCGTTTATTTTAGAAAAATGGAGCAGAACTCGACGTAAAAGCTGTTGTTCCCGGAAGCAATTTAGGTGCGAAAAGTAGGTGGCCTCATTTAAACCACGCGATACCTGAAGCTGCCTGCCTCTCAGCGGACGCGTACCGATCCGTCGAATTTCTGATTTCAAAGTGGTAAAATGCATTCTACGGATGCGCACTGTGATCTTAGCTATTAATTAGTTATCAAAACTTTGGATCATACCAAAAAAGACTCAAGGGGTGTTGGATGGATTGATTCTCTTTATTTTATTACTTTTGTACTTATCTTTGCCTACTCATATGATACAAAATTAAATAAAGATGCATTGTTTTTGTACTTTTGTACAAAATTGAAATGGATGCATTAACCCTTGTCTTATGGAGCGGGGTCCAAATGGACCCCAAGGCTATAAATATTGTGATAGAATCGCTCAGTGGTAAAATATCTTAATGGGACGTTGGGGAATCTTCAATTGACCATTTGTGTTTTTAAAAATCAGGTTTAAGATTTAGAAAGAATTTCCATCATAAAGTAACTTATTTGTGTAACAGTAAAAACAGTACCAAAATCGAATTCTACGTTTTACTGACTTTAACTGAATCGTGTTGCTCTGACTTGTCCTGGTTTTGATGACTTACATTATAATCTTTAACAAAATGCCTGTTATGTTCATAGTTCGGTTGTAAAGATATTGTACAAAATAGAAAATGTACACAGTTGGAGCAGCTATGCTTTATAAATTCCAGAGCATATCTGCAAACAAATCTCGCCAATATATTTTAACTGACTGAGTGATTGAGTTTGGTTTTACGCCGCTTTTAGCAATATTCCAGCAATATCACGGCGGGGGACACCAGAAATGGTACTCATTGTACCCATGTGGGGATTCGAACCTGGGTCTTCGGCGTGACGAGCCAACGCTTTAACCACTAGAATACCCCACCGCCCCCCAATATATTTTAAAACGAAGATGATATCATATCACTGGTATGAAGATATTCAATATGTATACAGGTGTATATTATCTTTCACTACCTTCTTTCATACTTACGTAAGGAATGTCGCATGTATTTTAATCCAAACGTATCATTTCAATATAATGTTGATTCACTGGGTTCAGACTATAATAACTATCTGTCATTTAATCTTCCTCGTGTATACAACCTCTCAGGCTGCAACAATGTACGTTAAAGCTTCACTCACTCACCCATATATAGAAATTCCTCTCAGTGTTAATGCTTCTAAGTATAATTCCATAACGCTCACAAAATGCAGGCCTACTTAACAAGTATAATGAGCTCTACCAATGCCTCGTTAACATAGTTTATTGAATATGTTGTTATCCATCAATTACCCAAGTCTTCCATCCGTCAATTCTAAGAAACGCTTGTCAAACAACGGCAGAGGTTTGTTTCTGAAATTTTACTTCACTCGCTCTTATAATTCTATAATGCTCACAAAATGCACTCCTACTTATCAAGTATAATGAGCTCTACGAATACCCCGTTAACAGTTTATTGAATATGTTGTTATCCATCAATTACCCAAGTCTCCCATCCGTCAATTCTAAGAATTGACTCCTGTCAAACAATGACAGAGGTTTGTTTCTGAAAATGAAGTACACATTAAACCTGAAAACAGACCTGGGATTGCTAAAGGTACATGCAACCATGCCACATGCAGTTTGTTTTATGTTTCAGGCACCTGCTGCCAGTATGTAATGTGAGTTAAAATTATATAAAAAATATAATTAGTGTATAATGGTACAAAAGAGGTCATTCATAAGATGTCAAATTGTTACAAGAAAATAAGTCTTACCCTGACTGGTTCACTGGGAGCAAACCCCGTCTGTTGATGGATGCCAGCTTCATCCAGGTGTTGAAGAAAACATCGGGTATTTTGTAGATTAAAAATGAGTGGAACTTCTTTTTGTTTCAGACAATCTGGTTTATGGAAGGTTTGCAGGCTTGATTGGTATGCTCGTTGTTATGTATAATTAATGACGTGTATGACGTCACTATGTCGATACGCGTGACGTGTTCAGTCTTGATTGGTATGTTCGTTGTTATGTATAATTAATGACGTGTATGACGTCACTATGTCGATACGCGTGACGTGTTCAGTCTTGATTGGTATGCTCGTTGTTATGTATAATTAATGACGTGTATGACGTCACTATGTCGATACGCGTGACGTGTTCAGATATTGTAGTGTATGGTTATATAATGTATCATAGTATTGATATTTTTGTCCTTGTTGTCTTCATATATGTTTTGAAAATTATGTTAACGCTTTTTGAAATGTGAAACTTCTATTCGTACATCAATATGGCTGAAACAGCTTTTATCACCCATGTACCCATTTATTTTCATCGTGTTTCTCCTTTTCTTTCTTTCTTTCTCTCTCTCATCTCTCTTTCCCGCTCTCTCCCTCCCTCTCTTCTCTCTCTCCCTCTCCTCCTCTCTCCCTCCCTCTCTCTCCCTCCCCTCTCTCTCTTCTCTCTCTCTATCTCTCTCTATATTTTTTAATTTTTTTTTATTATTATTGGATACTTATATAGCGCACATATCCAGGCAACTAGTGCTTGCTCAAGGCGCTGATATTTTTTCCCTCGGTCATTGGATGTCAATCTCAATGGCACATCATATTATCAATCTCAACTCCCTGGGGAGTATACAACTCTTGCAGCCACTAGGCGCACCGAGTTATTGTGGCTTTCTCATCCTAACTCATCCTTTATATATATTTATATATATATATATATCTCTCACCTGCTGACTGCTTCTGGTTCTGTTTGGAAGTTTTACCAAATTCCAAATTCTACGAATGTTCACACAACACACAACTCAGTTGATACTAGGTATGTACAGCAAGCTGGGACAGTGTATCTAAGAAGGATCCACTCTGTGTCATGGGAGCCGTCATCTTCCAGGCAGCTGGGACAAAGACGCACGACACGGAGGGTAAGGGGGAAACTGGAGTTGATGGTTAGAGACAACGCGTTCTCGAATATCAAGGGTATTGCATCTCCACTGAGTCATGATAGATATCCTGGGCCCATTTCCTATCATAGCTTCGTAACGGACGTTGCCATCGTCATATTTCATATCATTAAAACATATTTGATCGGAAATTGTCATTAAATCTGTCTCAAAACAAAGCTGTGGCAACTCGTGGATCCATGTCGAAATGGACATAAAATACCCTAAATGACTGAGGATGGAGACATAATATAGAGAATAGGATAGAATGTAGACATCAATACAGATATCAAGATAGATAGGAGTTGTGCTTCACACATTCTACCCTAATGGGGAATCGAACTCTTTGGCGAGACAAACGGACGCTTTAACCACTAGGCTACACCACCTCCCAGATAGATAGTTAGATAGATAGATACATAGATAGATAGATACAGATAGATAGATAGATAGATAGATAGATAGATAGATAGATAGATAGATAGATAGACAGATAGATGTCTCTAACCATCAATAAAACTGTGACTGTGTAATGTGTGGGCTGTCTATACTAAAGGTGATGGAGGGGGCGATCATACATGGAGAACACACCTACATATGTCCATCCAGAAAGTCAAAATGTACACACATCATCAACAGATACACTACGACACGTGTAAAACATGTGCACGTAGGTATTTCATATATATACTCATGCCAATAATGGTTGTCACCCCCTTCAATTTTTTTAATTGGAGAGGGTGTGTGGGGTGGGGGTGTGAGGTGTGTGTGGGGTTGGGGTGAGTAGGGGGGTGACAACCATTATTGGCATGAGTATATTTCAAAATGAGATTTATCTTGAAGAGTAACACTGAAAATTCCAGCTACACGGCTGCAAATAATGTATTTAAATTCTGAAATACTCATCAGTTTTGACTTGACAAAAGTAATAATTATTGCTGATCTGCTCATATTAATTTTAGGGTTAACAGTGAAGCTCTTGAAGTACTTAATAGTATAGGAATAAATGTACACTGGCGGTTAGTTCATACTCACCATCGCCCTTGGCTGCAACTTCCACGGTCTGCCACTTGTCTGCATCCAAACTGTCGATCAGGGACTCCATGACTCTGCACGGACAAAAATAATCATGAAAATATGAATAGATTAAAATGAAGACGAACATGATGATGAAGTTGATGATGAAGATGATGATAACAAGGATGGTGGTGATGATGATGATGATGATAATGACGGTAGTAGTTGTTGTTTCGATGATTATGATGATGATGGTGGTGATGATAACAAGGATGGTGGTAATGATGATGATGATGATGATGATGATAATAATGACGGTAGTAGTTGTTTTTGCGATGATTTGATGATGATGGTGGTGATGATAATTATGATGGTGATGATGATGATGTGATGATGGTGATGATGATGATGATGATGATGATGATGATGGTGATGACCTAATCAAGGATTATAGCATCTATAAAGGGTAAGATTGTAATCACATAAGACAAGGTAGCTTTAAATTTATATGAACCCCCGTAGATTTCGGTTGACATATCCCTTTGGATGTCAGCAAAAACCAAGGTGACCTCGTCCCGAGACAGCAGACAAGGCGAATGCACTGTCGATGTACTGGCAAACCACAAGCATGTGTTGAACTATTGGTACACAACAGCCGCTTGTCCCATCGTGGCACACTGCACAACAAACATATGTTTAACTATGGATGCTTTGCGGGAAAGTACTCTTTTCGCTCCTTTGCCAGATTGCATCTGGGAAGATATGGAAACTCACAGGTATAGAACATCCGCCGTTGAGCAAGCATGAGTACGTTCAGCTTTACGTTCAGCAATATTAACGCAATTGACGACGTGTAGTCCAGAGTGAGTTTTGGTTTTACGCCGCTTTCAGCAATATTACTGCAATATCACGACGGTGTATACCAGAAACGGGCTTCACACATTGTACCCATGTGGGGAATCGAACCCGGGTCTTTGGCGACACAAGGAACGTTTTAACCACGAGACTACCCCACCGCCCCTTCACGCTTTGACAACTGTCAGGTAGCATCATGAAGTGTCGTAGACATTTACCACTTTGATGCTGTGCTGATTAGGTTCATAATAGGGATGAAGTTTGGAATTGAATTTGACACGTAAAATTAGAAAATATCCAGTATAGATTTTCCGACATAATTTGGCGAAAATGGGCTAAATAGCCTGGAAGGTATTTCAATGGAAAATTCAGTGATGATTCACGGTGTCCACATCAGGGTTAGCCATGGTTTGTACATGTAGGACAATCACTCATAGTATTCATAAAAAAGTAAGGGTTAAACGTGTTGCCTTGCCGCACACCAGTACTCCGGTAATGCCACGGCGGTATGAACCAACAACAGTTTTCTAGCATTACAAATAGTATCCCAACTGCTTAAGCACCTGGACTCCCCATGGCCTCTTCACAAAGACAGTTATATTTTCATCCAAGTAACATTCTCATGTTCAACGAGCGGTATTCGGACTATGCGCATGTTGCATTGTGGACGAGTGATACCATGTGTAAATAGCATGTTTCCTGTCGTTATGTTGGTGTTTGCATGGAGAATGTTATGTGTAAATGTCTCGGTGGTCACTTCTGAAATAACCGAACACGACGTTGTAATTGATGTATAATGGCAACGCTAACTTGATAACCGTTTGTCAACAACAGGCTGTCATACTATAGCATTCCTGCTGATAATTGGTCTGACTAGAAAATACACTCAAGGATATACACACAACCTCAGCAGCGCGTACCAGTAAAGCACTGTGTTGTTTCTTCATAGCAAACTTATGGTCTCCCGTACAGTGTTATTGCAGTTAGATTGTAGACAGTAGTGTCTGCTTGGCAGAAAGTTCTCTAGTTCTAGGGAAGTAGAGGGTGTAAGGTTGAGTGGCAAATGGTTCCAATTTACAAATTGACCTTGACCAGCAGATTTCTGTTTTCATCACATTGGATGAAAAGGATGGTCTGCAGATCGCAAGGCTAGATATGATGCATGCTTTGTCAGTAGTTCAATCAGGTATACCGGAACAGAGATTCAGAGGTCTCAGATGTTCGTAGCCATGGTCATCAACCCGTGAAGATGCGGGTTAGAACTGGTCTTCAGTAACCCATGCTTGTCGTTAGAGTCGACTAACTGGATCGGGTGGTCAGACTCGCTGACTTTTTTGACACATGTCATCGTATCCCAATTGTGTAGATCGATGCTCATACTGTTGATCACTTGATTTTCTGGTCCAGACTCGCCATATAGCTGGGATATTGCTGGGTGTGGCGTTAAACAACAACCAACCATGGTCATCGGATCTTTAACTTCTTCGAGACACCCTCACTGCTTTTAGTGTGCGTGGTATAGGTATTAATACACTATTTTGCTTATCATTATGCCCCTCATTTTGTTTTCAGCTGAACCCAGCACAATTCCAGACGCAGGTCTCTAAATAATCGAGTCTGGAGTAGACCGTCCATTTCGTAACATCATCAGCAGCGATCCACGAAATTGGTGTACGAAGGAATCGCCAAAGTTAGCGAGACGATAAAAGAGGGTTGCTGAAGACCAAACCTGTCTTGCAACTGGAGATTCTTTCGATCCAATAACACAACCATGATAGTAGCATGAAATTCGTCACCATCGCATAACCATATTAAGTTTGTTTCATTTGTATCAATACGTTTGTCTGTTTGTTGTTTCAAGCAGCAATATTCCTGCTATATGGCGAAGATCTGAAAATAATCGTGTCTGGATCAGACAATCGAGTGATCAACAGCATGAGCATCCATCTACGTAACTGGGATACGATGACATGTGTGACCACCCGATGCCGTTAGTCGCCTCTTTCAACAAGCATGGGTTGCTGAAGATCAATTCTAACCCAGATCTTCACGGTCTCATTGCATCCAACAGAGATGAATACTGTCTTCTTGTACACGGCAGCCAAGTTACATATGTGTTTTTGCGGAGATTGATGATGTTATGATTATTATAAACACATGGCTGATACATTCCTCACAAACACAATAGCACACGACAGTCAGATTTACTTCTTGGACAAAGGTATGTTGAAATTTGTTTCGCAATGTCTCACTGACGGTAAGACAGGAACCTATTAATAAGACAGCCGAGGCACGTACCACACATACTATCATAATACCGTGTCGTTTACACCATTTTGTCAGCACCAAAAGAACGACGACACACTGTCACTACCTTGAAGAGTAAGTACTGGTATATCACGGACTGTCATATACATATAGCGAGCGTTAGTACAAATGATAGGCAACGCATGTGTTGACATTCCTCGCAGTCGTTTCGTCAAAAGTTGCATGTAGTTAGCAATATTTGTCTGTCCGATGAGGAAAAAATGGCGATTTTTATGCGATGTTCTTTGGTGCATCATTTGATTGTTTTCTGATGTAGTCAGCAGTAATGTTAATGTCATTTTGATCCTCAGTGTTGTAGAGGGTTGATTGAGTTAGTTATACGCCGCACTCAGCAATATTACAGCTACATGTGTATATGGCGAGTCTGGACCAGACAATCCCGTGATCAACAGCATGAACATCGACCTACGCAATTGGGATACTTGGTGAACAGATTCACTTTTGAGCAAACTCACTTGCCTAAGGTGAGACCACATGTATCACATGTGCTTCGTTGTGGGGCAGGACTGAAGTCCTAGAAACTCTCAGGAGTCAAGCTGCCAAACACGGTCACCCATTCAAGGATTCTCCGAGTTCAACTTCAACTGATCTGTGATCTGAGCTCTATGCACAGGACCACGTGTCACCACAATGACATCTGTCAACCCAGTCAACCCAGTCAACGAGCCTGACCAGTCACCTCTTAGACAAGCATGGGCTACTGAGGATCAGTTCTAACCCGGATGTTCACGTGTGCGTACTTGGAGGATGAAAACGTGTGGTTAACACGATCTTTTTATTTACACCGTCTTATAAAAGCGCATAGTTCACAAATTTCAGGAGGGCCTATTCCATCCCTAGAAACCACGGGAGAGTATTGCCAGCTAGTTTAGTTGAAACATGTTCTAAAGTGATTAAAAACGTTGAAATTGCCACTATGAAGATTTTACTTTTAATTATCTTTTTTGTTCTCCATCTTAACATGATTCAGCTTGTTGATACGAGCATTTTACCGTGTACGTTTCCATTGCCATTTCCTGGCATCGAATACTCGATATAACCCGCAACTATGGGTAAAACATAGTTATTTATGTTAATGTTCTCAGTAATTAATATAGACATCTCCTATATTTCAGAATGTGGTAGCCTGGTCGATAGCACGTTTTGGACCTCCTCCATGGTGTAGTGGATATATGATCTGCCCGGAGAAGGAGGTGGCTCGATCACGGACCGCCTCTAACAAAACACGTTAGCAAATGGTACCCTGTGGTCAAAATAGGGAAAACGCAAGGACACAAATATCCAAATACTCTTCCCGCCCAAACGCCCCCCTACCCTCTCTTGTCACACGATTACCATACATGCGCACACGCAGCTATGTACGCACGCACGCACAGGCACACGTACACGCATACGCACGCACATATACACGCCGAACACGCCGTTAAATTGAGTTCAGTTTACCCAACCAAAACAAGACAACACAGAGTTAAAAACTTGGCACGTTACATTCAAGATTTTATTTTCTACATGTGGAGCGCATGCGTTTTGTCACCGAAACGATATGACTGAATTATTGCTAAAATCGACACTCAAACACCCATACAGCAAAATACGTCCGTCTGTTTCAACTCAACGTGTTTTTTACATTATACGGTATTTTGTCACCGAAACGATATGACACCGAAACTCACTTCATTGGCTTCCCGTCCATTACCGCATAAAATATAAAGCTCTATTCCTTGTTTTCAAAAGTATACATGGTCTAGCTCCTCAGTACCTCCTGTACGTTCACTCCGATCAAATGACCAGTGTCTTTTGACAATTCCTGTAGGACAACAACATATGGTGACAGGTCACTCGAGACGACTGGCCCTCATCTCTGGAACAGTCTTCCATCTCACCTCAGAACACAACGAGATTTAGCTGT